AACAATTTTCCGGGTTTTTAAAATATTACCTAGATGATCTATGATTAAAGTACTTTCTTTGCCATGTTATGAATGGATGGTGTCCCTGTTCGTACTTTTTGTTTGCATTGTCAGAAACACATTTAGAGCCCTTTGTTACAGCTTAGGGTTTATTAACAGTTATGAGACAATTGTTTGAACTATTAAATAGTGTACTGAGTACTATCTGCACTTTGATTCAAATTCTCTCACCAATTTAAAAAATGACTAAAGTATTTAAAACTATATAACAAAAAAAACATCATCACCAAGTTCTTTAAATTATTTATTAATATTTGTGGTCTTCAAAGTAACTTTAATTCTGTTGAGTTTTATCTCTTGCAAAGTTCACCAGGTATACCTGTTTTTTGTGTGACTAATTTGAGACTGGAAACTAGGTTTGAATCATCAGACTCTTATTATATGTGCACTTTTAGCACTTCACTCTATTGCCTTTCTCTTTGTTCTATATCACTCTCCTTCATCTCAAAACTTGAAATAAAGTGATTTACTGAAATAATTTTTTTTTAGTAAATCACTTTCAAATAAATCTCAAATACGTCCAATTATGGAATACTGTTGCCATATCTGGGGCGGATCTTCCAATGATGTCCTTTCTTTTTTTAGAAAAGGTGCCAAAAATGCATTGTAAACATATTTGGACCTGCTCTTGCAGCCAATCTCCAACCATTATCACATCATCGTAATGTTGCTTTTCTTTCTCTTCTATATAAATACTGATGCATCTCTTGTACCATCCACTAAAATTAATTCTTGTGTTACTTGTCATTCAATTAAGTCTCATCCTTTTACTGTGACTGTTCATAAGTACTTCAAAAATTCAGTTCTTTGGAATCTTCTCCATTTATCTTGTGTTCCTGAATTATTTAATTTGCAATCTTTAAAGTCGTTTTTTAATCATATATACATGTATACACACACACACACACATATATATATATATATATATATATATATATATATATATATATATATATATATATATATATATATATATATATATATATATATATATATTGAAATCGTCTAATTGATTTTTATTTAAAATCTACAGTTAAATCAAACTTGATAACTCGAACTTTGTTATCTCAAACAATTTTTTATCCCTTTCAGCAAGTTTTTTTGGTAAACTCAAACTTTGTGTATTGGAAATTAAGAAATCAAAGTAACTTGATTTAAGAAGTCATTCTATATAAGACATAAATAACAGCCTAATATTTTTTCTATTTTTTTGCTGTATTTAGAATGTATTTGGATATAAATAAAATATTAGTTAGATTTGAATATAATAGATTGTTATCAAGGTGTAAAATAGTAAAACTGTAGTAAAATAGTATAACTAAAACAAAAAAAATCTTATAAAATAATTTTAAAAAGCAGTAATTTTAAAGTTTTAATAAATTTTTTAATTAAATATTGCTAGCTTTTAGATGCAATATTATTGCCAAATATTAAGGAAGTCATTGTTTTGCTATCTTTTTTATCAGAATAAAGTTATATATTTTTATTAAATTAGTTTTAAATTTAATCAAGCATTTCTTATCATAGTTAAATTATATTATTATGATCTTTGCTTCAAGCTTAGTATTGTAGTTTTTTCAAGTAAAAAAATTGATCATTAAAACAAAAATAATAAATTAATTATAAATTTTTTATGTATATAATACACAATTAAATACTAATGAACAATTTGAAAAAGAAGTATTACTTACAAAAAATCTTTATAAAAAAATTAACTGCAAAATAAAACAAATATAAGATAATATGGAGTCGAAGAAAAACAAACATTCTCAAAACTTTTTAAATGTTTTTTTTTTGTATGTGGTCTTCAAGTAGACAAAAATGATGATGATGATGATGATGATGATGATGATGATGATGATGATGATGATGATGATGATGATGATGATGATGATGATGATGATGATGATGATGATGATGTCAAAAATAATTTAATTTTGTTGTTTATATTTTTAATTAGGTATGGAATTGTCTTACATACTTCCTAGTGACTATGTTTCGGTTTTTGAAAGTTTATTTTCTGAAATTGAAAATCGGCGTGAAGAACTAGGAATATCAAGTTATGGTGCATCTATTACAACTTTAGAAGAAGTGTTTTTAAAAGTTTGTGAAAATGCTGAAGAAATGCAAAATGGTGACCAAAACATAATAAAAGAAATAGGCTTAAGTAAATTTAATAAAATGAAGATCTTTTTAGAATACTTTTAATTTAGAGCTTAAAAGTTATGTTAATGATATTTTTTTAGGCTCAAGTTTGCCTGATATTCTCCCTGATGTGTTACCTTCATCTAAGCCACTAAGCATGCAGCTTCTTGATCCACCTTCACTTTTGTCACAAAAAAATATTGGTTGGACTCTCTCAGTCCAGCAGTGGTATGCAATGTTTTTAAAACGATTTCTTCAATCTAAAAGATATAAAGCTGCACTTATATCTCAACTTATTATGCCTGGTTTATTTGTAATGCTTGCATTGCTAATTGTAAAAGCTATGCCAAAAGCTGAAGACCCCCCTCCTCGTCTTCTTGATTTAAGTATGTTTGGATCTAGTAATGTTGTTTTAAAGGGAAACAGCTCAAGGTTAGAAATTTGTAAACACATTAATAAATAAAAAATTTAAACATAGGTTTGTGCTACATCTAGTAGTTCAAGTTTTTAATTATTTTTGACTTTTATTTTTGAAATATATTAAAATAAAAAGAAATTAAGTGGACTAATGTCTTGTCTGTCATATTTTTCACTTGTTTTTCTATCTAGCATTCTTTAAATATCATCGCGTATTAAAAAAAATTGATAAATTAATTTAGCCTATGAATCAGGTTATTAGATATTTTCACCTTTTACAAACTCTGTGACAAAGATGATTTTTTCCTGATTTAATTTATTTAAACTTTTTTTTTTTTTTTAATTGTAAAATATCAAATATTTATCACAGAAACCAAATTTTTTTAAATATTTCAACATTATTTATTACAATTGTAATAACTATGATTATTAAATTTTATAAACATTTTAACTATTGTTATATACATGTTTTATAATTGTTGTTCAAATTATAAACTGTCATTCTTTTTTTGCTGTTTTATTTTTTTTAACTTTTGTTTTTTATTTGTTTTAGTTTTTATTAGATAATGATTTTTATACACTTTTATTGTACATAATATTATTTTTACATTGTTATTTTTTATATATTTTATAACTGTTATTGTAATAATTAAAAAATTTTTAGTTTTCATTTTAAATTTTTATGTCATATATATTATGTGTCATATTTATTATGTCATATGATATTGTTAAAAAATAAAAAAATGTTATAGTTTTTTTTACTATTGTTATATTTAATTTTATCATTATTTGCTAAAATTAGTTTTTTTTTATTGATTTATAACTATTATTAATTGTATTTTTTTCATTTTTATCTTTTTATGTTCTCTGTTTTTTCTGTTGATTCTTCGTTAGTTTATATAAGCAACATCTAACATTAGGTTTGCTAAGATTAAGATTAGATTAGATTATTTTTAGATTATTAACATAAACTAATGCCATTTTTAAAAGCCTTATTGGTAGTTTAATATTAGTTACAAGGTAATAGTTAAGGATAGAGGAAGTTTGTATACCTGGTTTTTTTTCTAAGCCTTTATTCACAGACTTGTTTAAAAATTGTGAAACTGACATAATAACATCTCTATACTATTTTCTTTGTAAAAATATATATATATATATATATATATATATATATATATATATATATATATATATATATACACATACATATATATACATATATATATATATATATATATATATATATTATATATATATATATATATATATATATATATATAATATATATATATATATATATATATACATATATATATATATATATATATATATATATATATATATATATATATATATATATATATATATATATTATTATAACTATATATATATACACTTACTAAAGCGTGTTTTTGATAAGCATTTTGCTCACTTTTTGTGCTTACTTCAAGGTAAACTGTTTTTTTTCGAAAAAGAAGAAGAAAAAAACGAAGAATGATAAATAAAACGATTGCTTCCCCATCCCAAACCCTCAGTCGATGTAGTAGCACTTTACTGCGAGTCAGGCTATTTGTCAGTCGTTGTATGTACTGAAGCCCCCAGCAGCCGGCTATTTTAGTATGACGTCAGATTGCTTACCAAAGTACTCAATACTATCCGTATATATGTTTATATATATATATATATATATATATATATATATATATATATTATATATATATATATATATATATATATATATATATATATATATATATATTATATATATATATATATATATACATATATACATATATAAATATAATTACTTAAGGTATAAAAGTTCGTAATTTAAAAAGGTTTAAAAATTAGTGGCTCTAGGTACAATAACTTTTTTTGTAACTCCAATTTGAATAGACAACAAAGATATACATAAATTTTGTTAAAAAGTTTTCCATATCTTAAATTTAACAAATTTTTGAAATTCAACTATCTACCTTTGATCAAACAAATTCTTTATTAGAGAAACACACATGCGTCCCTAAATACATATAATCTATATGGCCCTAGGTACAAGACTTAATAGCCTTATAAAAATGTCATAATCAAATGAATATAGTATCAATATAATAAAATGTCATAATGTCATCTATTAACCAAGGCTGAGACAACACTTATTAAACATTGCATTAAGTACTTAAGTAACAAACAATATAATATATAAGAGTCTATAAAAAAGCATTTTATCTAGGATAGGATTGTAAAACAATAAAACTGAGACTAAACTATCAACTAAACTGAGAAGCATAACTATATAGTTTTCAAATAAATTAGGGTGGCCCTAGGTACAAGGTAGTTGTTATGGTTACTAGTTTATTTATTGTTCGTGCAAAAAATAAAATACCCTCTTGTTTTATTTTAGTGTTTTTGATGTCTCAATCTATGAAAGTTTCATAAATAGCAAAAAATCTGTTTTAAAACAAGCTGACCAAAATGTGGTAGATTATTTATTATTGCTAGAAACACGTGGTTTAGGAGAATTTAACTTAAAGTATCTGATTGGTTTAGAGCTTAATTATACAATTAAAGAAGGTAAGTGTTTCTACTATTTTTTTAAACAAGTTTTTTAGTTGCTTACATGTTGAAACTTATTTTATTTTAGCTACTATGTGGTTTAACAATGAAGCATTTCATGCTGCCCCAGTTTCATTGAACGCTTTTACAAACTCATTACTACGTATGTATAAGCCTGAATGTTCTATCTCTTCTACAAATGATCCTTTACCAAAAACTGTAAAGCAAAGCATATCTGATCTTTCTATGTAAGTTCAATTACTCATTTTAGTATTTATATTGGTCTATTTAGTTCTATTTATGATCTTGTTGCTTTTTAAATTACTTTTTATTTTATAGTAATCCTAATGGTTTTCAAATTGGATTTATGTTGGTGTTTGCTATGGCTTTCTTAGCCTCCAGCTTCATTGTTTTTTTAGTACAAGAGAAGGCTTCAGGTTCAAAACATGTTCAATTTGTTAGTGGTATTAATCCATTTAGTTACTGGTCATCTGCATACATATGGGATTTAATTAATTTTAGTCTGCCTGTTATTCTTATTGTTATAATATTTGAGATTTTTCAACAAGAGGCTTTTATAGGTAAGAGATGTGTTTTTTAGCAATAATTGCATAAATATCTATTTCATACTAAAAGTTATATGAAACTTTTAGTATGAAATAGATATTTAGATAATAGATATATAATATTATATGAATAAAAAAAGATATATATTGTTAAATTAGCATAGGATATAGTAAAATTTTTTTAACTGCTGTACAATTTGTTTTAACTGCTGTACAATTGAGGCCACATTTGGAGCCCTATTGTTATGGTTTAAGGTTTATTAATAGTAAAGAGGCAATTACTTGGGCTATTAGATAGTGTACTGAGTACTATCTGTGCTTTAAGTCAAGTTCTTTAACAAATTTAAAAATGCCTAAAGTACCAAAAACTATAAAACACAAAAAACCATTGCCATCATCAAATTCTCTAAATCTATCATTCATTACTATTTATAGTGTTTGAAGCTATTTTTCTTCTGTTGAGTCTTATCTATTGCAAAGTTCACCAGACCTACTTGCTCTTTGTGAGACTAATTTGAGCTCAGCTATCTCATCTTGTGATCTTAGTGTTGGTGGTTAGCTTCCTTTAATTCATAAAGACTCCAATAGTCACATGCTTGGCCTGGGCGTTTACATTCGTAAGAATTCACCCTTTTGTTAGGAAACTAGGTTTGAATCCACTTACTATTTAGTTCTATTAATGCTTTCGTTTACCACAACTTCACTCTATTACCTTTCTTTGTTTTATATCACTTTCCATGATCTCAAGACTGCACTCTTTTTGATGTTATTTCTGATTAAATTGACCAAGCCCTCTCTCTTTATCCTTCAACCAATATGGTTGTTGTTGGTGACTAATACACTGAATGGCTTAGCTCTAGTGTTAGTGACTCTGCAGGTTTTTAGATCCACTCTGCAGGTTATTTCACCTCTCTTGTATGGTTCATATTTTTCACCTCACCAAAAGACAAAGCTGAATTTTTTGCTATGAACTTTTTATCAATATTATCTCTTGATTCCACTATTTGCGTTCTAACTGATATAACCAACAATCAGTGGCATGTGTTATACCTATTTTCAAAAAATCTGTAGAGCAATCTGACTTGTCTAATTACCATCCCATTAGTATTCTTCTTATCATAAACAAGGTTTTTGAATCTTTAATTAACAAATACATAATCATTTATCTTGAATCTAATAACTTACTTTCTGATCATCAATATGGACTTTTTTCTTCTTCTACTGCTGCTTTGTTAATGGAAATAACTGATAAGTGTTATTATTCATTAGATAGATATGGACAGGCTAAGTCAATCGCTCTCAACATTACTAAAACTTTTAATAAAGTTTGGTGTGCTGGTCTTCTCCATAAGCTCTTCTCTTACAGTATATCAGGTAACATCTTTAAGATTATTGAATTCTTCCTTACCAATCATAGTATAAAAGTTGTACTTGATGGACACTACTCTTT